GGGGTGGCTGAATCTAGAGTCAGTGATTGGTTTATAGTCTAGTGCTGGGATTATGGGCGTGAATGCTATACCCTCCCTTGGACGGGCAGCCTCCATACAATATAAGGGACAGAAAGAGTCTTCTCTCTGTTCTCTCTTTTTGCTCTTGCTGCTTTTGCTGTCTTCTGCTGCCTTGGTGTTGCCCCTGTGCCAGGCCACCCTTCCTTGGAACCAGCTGATTACAGACTGAAACCTCCACAAACGGTGAGCTAAAGAAACCTTTCTTTCTTTCATTTGGGTGTTGAGTATTTTGTCCCAGCAATGAGAGAAAAGTAACCATGACAAGAAGTATGAGTGACCCCTGAAAAAACCGCACTCACAGACAGGGAGGAGAGCTGGTGCCTGCAGCACCTCCAGTGCGCTTCCTGGGGGCAAAGAGGGACCAGGTTCTGGATAAAGCAAGAGCCCACTGTGGGCCCTCAGAGTCTAAGACAGAGCTGTTTCTGTTTTCAGTCATTTAGGTTGATCTACAGGACCAGCCCGTTTGCTGTAAGAACCAGCCAGAGCAAGTGCTTTAAGACGTGAGTATGGATGTGGCCGGACAGCTGCCCTTCTTTAGCTGCTGGTTTCCTGGGATGAAGTTCCCCCTGTGTGGGACTCTGAGAGCTGAGCCGTTTGCACTGTCCCTTTCTGCAGCTATCGCGCTCAGTCTTAGCCACAGAAGTTCAGCCTGGAATAGTGTTCCAAAGGGTGATTCCAACTCTGCCTTGTTAGTCCCTAAGAACAACTCTAGGTATTTTATTTTATTTATTTGTTTATTTTTAATCTTTTTGAGACAGGGTCTCACTATGCAGTTCAGCCTGGCCTTGAGCTTACTTTGTAGTCCAGGATGGTCTCGAACTCACAGTGATCCTCCTGCCTCAGCCTCCCAAGTGCTGGGATTACAGGCGTGTGCCACCATGCCATGTGCCACCATGCCTGGCAGTTATTTTAAATATACTTAAATTCCAAGAATAATTAGTTTTCATTTACCTTTTTTTTTTTTTTTTGTCTTTTTGAGAAAGGGTCACACTATGCAGTTTGAGCTTACTTTGTAGCCCAGGCTGGTTTGAACTCAAAATGGTCCTCCAGCCTCAGCCTTCTGAGTGCTGGGATTACAGGCGAGTGCTGGGATTACAGGCATGCCCCACCACACCTGGTCATTTACTTTATTTTATGTAAAATAGCACCTCTGGGAAGGGAGGTTTCTTTCTGGGCGGAAGGTGCTGGATTTGAACCTAGGACCTTCACACTGAGCACCTCAGCCCTTTTAAAATTTTTATTTTAGGGGCTGGGGATTTAGCTCAGCGGCACAGTACCTACCTGGCAAGCGCAAGGTCGTGAGTTTGATTCCCAGTACCAGAAAAACAAAACAAAACAAAAAAATAAATAAATAAAATAAAATTTTTCTTCTAAAATTTTGAGCTGAGGGCAAGGGATATAGCTCAGCAGCACAAGCACCTGCCTGGCAACCACAAAGTCCTGAGTTCGATTCTTGTTACCAAAAAAACAAAAACAAAAATAAATAAAAGTCTGTCCTCTAGTTTGGTCCTGAGGTTAGAATTTATTAAGGGCTGAGGATATAGCTCGTGGCGTAAGCGCCTGCCTGGCAAGCGTAAGGTCCTGAGTTCTATTCCTGGTACCAAAAAAATAAAATTTTGAGCCAAGTATGGTGGCATACGCCTATAATCCCAGCCTGTAATCCTAGCATTTGGGAGGCTGAGGCAGGAGGATCGTTGCAAGTTTGAGACCAGCCTGGGCTACGAAGTGAGCTCAAGGCCAGCCTGAACTGCATAGCGAGACCCTGTTGCGAAAAGGCAAATAAGTAAAAAAGTAGAGCACCTATGCTGCTCTACTTTTTACAACCTCAGTCCTGGAAAAACACTAAAAGATGTTGTATTCAAATAATAAATAGATAAAATTTTGAAACAGGATCTCACTAAATTTTGCAGGTTGGTCTTGAATTTATAGTTCTCCTAGCTCAGCCTTCCAGAGTGCTGGGATTATACGTATGAGCCCCCACACCTAGAAGTTAGGCATTTTGATTAAGCAAACTCTAGGTGGTCAATACACTTGATAAAAACTGAGTTAATCTAAAGTCCAAAAGTACCAAAGTGGTGGTAAGTATCAGAGACAATAGGAATGGGAAATGGAAACTTTGGAATCAGATCTTGTGACTTCACTAGAACTCTCACTGCTCAGGAAATCCAGGCATGAAAACTGGATTAGAAGACCCACAGCTGTTTTCTCTGTTTAATACCAAGAGTAAATACAGCCTAGCCAGGAGGTAGAGGAGTGCTGAGAGATGTTTTTGGTTGTCGCAGGTGGTGTGTTGGGAGGGAGGCGGGATGGCTGCAGAGAACCTGCTAAACCCCCTGCCATACACGGAAGCCCTACAGCAAAGACTTAGCCAGCCCCGGGTGTCACAGGGCTGGAGCTGAGAAGTCCTGACCTTGAGGAACTCTAATTGTCTTGTGCAGGTGAGATCACAGGACACAGCCTGGGCTTTCTAGCAGACCTGCTACAAATCTCCAAAACAGAAAGCAGTTATTTACTTAATATCTCTCTGGCAGACAAAAAGAAAGTTAAACTAACGCAACTACCAAGAATGGACCCCCTTATGCCACTGAGCAGTGCTGAGTGTTTTTATCACAGGCCTGGGGGACATTTGAAACTCACTGTAATGTCTCCCGTGCCGTGATGAAAAATACGCATCTGAACCTTTTAAAAACTGTTTCCCAGTAATGATAACAAAACCTATGCTGCTCTGCTTTTTACAACCTCAGTCCTGGAAAAACACTAAAAGATGTTGTATTCAAATAATGAATTATAATTTAAAAACCAATAAACCAGACTTACACACATGACCACACATATTTATGTGTATATATCATTTGATTTTCCTAATAACATGGAAGGAGATGGGGCAGGCCGGAAGTGGGGTCTCAGCCCACCTGGCTCACTGAGGGGCGCAGCGCGCCCTGCAGAGGGACGGGGCCTGAAACGCAGTGCCGCTGGCCGCACACTGTGCTCTTGCTGTGTTCCGCGTCCTTCCCCAGGTCCCCGGGAGCACTGGTATTTAGCCTCCATCGCACAAACCCAAAACACAGGTTATAGAGCACACTGTGCTTTTTGTCTCTGCTGAGGGAGGACACACTGAAGAACATGCGGCATCGCTTGTCTTCGGGAGGTGGTGGGCAGGGAGGACGTTTGGGCGAGGCGGGAGACTGACCTCTGGGCTGCGTTTTATTACTCCCTTGCTTTATGACTTTCAGCAAGGTGTAGAACCTCTCTACTGTAATTTGTCCGTTTTCTCTCAGTTCTATGGTAATAACAAGCCTATGAAGGCTGTCTTTAAAACCCATTATGGTCTACTAAAATGTTTTAAAATTAAATTTACTTATTTCCTTGAAATACTGTGTGTATAAGTCACTGACAGCAATGTTGATCACAGATGACAGTCCAGTGGCCTTATTTTTGAAGGCTGTGAAAACTCCAATGATGGGGCTTTTATAACTTCTTTGTAACTTCATAAATTTAATTCAGGCTGGGCGTGGTGGCACATGCCTGTAATCCCAGTATTCAGGACGCTAAAGCAGGAGGATTGCTGCAAGTCTGAAGCCAGCCTGGGCTACAAAAAGAGTTCAAGCCCAGCCAGAACTGCATAGCGAAACCCTGTCTCCAAAAGACAGCAAACACAAAAATTTAAGTTAGAAGTTGAAGCTTCTTATCTATCAATCAAAGAAGAATAAATGAAGGAAAAAAATGAGAGGGGGTATTTATTTAAGATCTCAAGGCAAAATTGTCAAAATAGAAACAAAGAAAATTATACTCAACCATAGGAGGATGGCAGAGAGCCTTCGCATATGTGAAAACCACCTTACAATTAAAAGCAAAGCGTGAGAAAATACGTTTTGGATCCCCATTACCTTTCAGAATTGGATATCCTTTAGAAAAGGCGCTAAGGCTTTATATTACCCTGGTTCAGCTTGTTGTACTGGTTATTAGAAATAGAGAAGCAGCACCGTGGGGTCAGGGTGGGATTTCCACACTCGTGTTTCTTTTACAGGTTAACCAAAGAAGCCAGTTGGACTAACCTTGTACGTCTTTCTCCTGAAAGTCACCGCAGGAGTGAGCAGCATTGCCTCTACAACGAAACCTCACGTTCCCACACCTTGGGACAAGGATGGCCACGACCCAGAGTGCAGTCTTTTTCGCGCTGGTGATATCCAGTGTTTGCAGCACAGTCTTCCACAGAGACCAGCAGACTTGGTTTGAAGGTGTCTTCATATCTTCCATGTGTCCCGTCAACATCAGTGCCAGCACCTTCTATGGAATTATGTTCGACGCAGGGAGCACTGGGACTCGAATTCATGTTTATACTTTTGTGCAGAAAACACAAGGTGAGTGCAGTGGGACCTCACTGGAGTTGAATCCACGCACTAGCATCTCCTCCCACAAGCAGATGTCCTGAGGTGTGAGGTAGAGTCAGAATCTCAACTAGTGGGTGTCTTCCTGCAGAGAACACTTTGGACTTTAATCAGACACAGAATTTAATTCTATGTGAAGTTAAGAGAAATCTTTATTATCCTTTCCCTTCTCTGAAACTGGTTAATACCTCGGGTCCAGAATATTGAGAACTCTGGGAGTGATCTTGGGGAAAGGATCACACAGGAGTTTCCCGGCATCCTTGGAGAAGAGACTAAGGGGACCCTGAACATTACCTTTTTCTGAATTGTCAGTTCCTTCCTCAGGTTACCTAAGGAGCCTGGGGAAGGAGTGGAGCTGGGCATCCCGCAGAGAAATGGCAGAGGTCCGTAGGGGTTGTAGCAAGACAGTGCTTGCAAATGGGCCCGTTAGCATGGGAAAAGAGCAGGTTAATCTAGTAAGTCATAGAGAACTCAAGCAGCCTAGAAGCCTAACCTTTGGTAATCAGCCATCTCTCTTCTTTTGTTCTGGGGGAAAACAGGACAGCTTCCAGTTCTGGAAGGGGAAATTTTTGAATCTGTGAAGCCAGGACTTTCTGCTTTTGTAGATCAGCCGAAGGAGGTGAGTTTCCTGTGACTTAATGTTCAGATTCTCGGTGCCTTGGTAACTTGGCCACTGCTGTTAACTACGTCCTGCACTCGGGAATGCCATTGAGAGCGTGCGTGAGGCCGGTGTGCTGCTCGGTGGCCTCCTGGAAGTCAGTCCTGTGTCAGGCTCACAAGGGCGGACAGGTTGTGCTCGTGCAGCAGTGCCACCAGCTTTTAAGAGCTCCCTCTCTCTTTGTCTTCACTATTTAAGATTCTGTGTTGAAGGCAACGCAGTGTAAATACAGAAGATAGGCAAGAAGTTCTGTATAGTACATGAAGTAAGTGTACACATGCAGCTGTGGGATAGAGAATTTCATTTCAGTGTGCCTCATGAAGCCGGGCATGGCAGTGCACGCCTGTGATCCTAGTGCTTGGGAGGCTGAGGCAGGAGGATTGCTGGGAGTTCAAGGCCATCCTGGGTTACATAGTGAGTTCAAGACCTACCTGAGCTACATGGTGAGACCCTGTCTCAAAAAAGAGTGCCTCATGAAGAAGGGCACCACGCCTGTTCTTGAGAAATTAGGCAGCAGCCCATAGTGACAAAATCTTTGGTAGTAGAGGATAAAGGGCGTTTGTGGTACCTGGTGGCTGTATTTCTCATGTGTGCACCCATGATGTACTACATCCAGTGTATCTTGTGCCACCACTGAAATAAAACAGGCAGAATGTTGAACTTTGACAGTGTGTGTAAAGTATTGTTCGGTCTCACAGAGTAATCATTAACCAAGGGGAAAACCTGACATTAACAGTGGGTTGAGTGGCCGGGCATAGTGTACACCAGTGATGATCCCAGAACTTACGAGACTGAGGCAGGAGGGTCATGAGTTTGAAGCCAGCCTGGATGTAATAGCAAGACGCTGTCTAAAAAAACCCTAAAAAGCAAACAGAGAAATAAAAGGGTTTGAAAGCCCGTTGAGCTGTGTGCACATCTCATCCCATGCTCAGAATGCTACAGGTGGAGGATCCCCTTGAGTCCAGAAGTTCAAGACCAGCACTGGCAACACGAGACCTTGTGTCAAAATGAAAAACAGAGGGAAGGGGGTGGTTTGAGCTTGAAAACTGAGAGGGTGGGTTCTCAGTTCACTGTCAGTGTGGTGTGAAATTAGAGCTGTTGAAATCAACTACATTATGGGGAAATGATCTGATATTTAGAAACAACTGTGTTGTAGTTATAGTACTGGGGATTGAACCCAAGCCTTGTGCATGCCAGGCGACCACTGTACCACTGGGGTATAGCCCAAGTTCCCCCCACCTTTTTAAATTTCATGTTGAAACAGGGTCTCACAAAGTTGCCCAGACTGACCTCAAACTTGTAATCATCCTGTCTCAGCCTCCCAAGTAGCTGGGATTACAGGCGTGTACCATCACACCCAGCTGAAGTATTAGATTTTAAAAAATGATTTTCTTTTTTTTTTTTTTTTGTCTTTTTGGGACAGGGTCTTGCTATGCAGTTCAGGCTGGCCTTGAGCTCACTTTGTAGCCCAGGCTGGCCCCAAACTCGCAAGGATCCTCCTGCCTCAGCCTCCCAAGTGTTGGGACTACAGGTGTGCGCCACCACGCCCAGCTGTTAAAAAGTAATTTTCATTTATTGTAAATTGAGCATCTACTGGGTGCCATGCATTGTAGATGCCAGTGGTACTGAGCCTGACACACTTTGTCCTTAAGGACAGCATAGAAATGTAGCATGTTAACAGCTACAGCTGCATCCCTGGGACAGCCGCATGCTTTTTGCCTTGTCTAATGTGTCCAGCAGTTCGGTGGTGGTCTGAAGCACAGCTCCTATCTCTCACCTGAGGAAACCAAATCCTGTGTAAGCCAGGCAACCCATGTTAGGTCACAGGGCTAGCAAGCAACCCTGACTTCAACTTCTGAGCACCCTGCAATACCCAGCTTTCTGACCTCAACAGAATTTATTGAGACCTAAGACAGCAATCACTGGGCATGGTGGCACACACCTGTAATCCCAGGACTAGGGAGGCTGAGGTGGGAGGGTCATCATGAGTTCCAGGACAGCCTAGGTTACAAGGTGAGTTCAAGGCCAAACTAACTACATAGCAAGACACTGTCTTAAAAAAAAAAAAAAATCGGCTAAAATGACCATACTATAAAAGAATAACTTTTATTATTGCTATTAAAAGGCAGTGAAGCTAGGCATAATGGTTGAAGCCTATAATCCTCAGGAAGCTGAGACAGGAGAATTTCAGGTTCAAGACCAGCCTGGACTATAAAATGAGACCCTGTTTTAAAAAACAACAAAAATTACATGGATATTTGTTGAAAGCACCCTACTTCTCTGAGTCTCTGCTGTCACGGAGCAGGAGGCGGGGGAGGCTTGGGCCTCATTGCCTGTGTTGCTCCCCCAAAGCATGCTGAAGGACAGAGCAGTGCTGCCAGGTGGGCTGTTCATTGGATAAAAGGCTTTTCTCTTCTGAAGGGTGCTCAGACCGTTCAGGAACTGTTAGAGGTGGCCAAAGACTCGATCCCCCGCAGTCACTGGAAAAGGACCCCCGTGGTGCTAAAGGCGACGGCGGGGCTGCGCTTATTGCCAGAACGGAAAGCCCAGGCTCTGCTGTTGGAGGTAAGTTTTGAAATCTGCTTCTTTGATGATTCTGTCTTTTCCTCTATATGATTATTTTATTTTCTAGAATGTAGTGCTAAAAAAAAAAAAAAACAATGTACTGCTACTTTGGGCATTCCACAGTTTAAAACACTAGGGTGGGGCTGGGGATTTAGCTCAGCGGCACAGCGCCTGCCTGGCAAGCGCAAGGTCGTGAGTTCAATTCCTGATACCGGAAAAAAAAACAAAAAAAAAACCCAACTAGGTGGGTTCTTCTGTGGAGTTCCTTTTTTTTTTAATGCAGTACTGGAAATCAAACCTGGGGCATTCTAGCACTGAGCTACACCCCCAGCTCTTCTTATTTTTTGTTTTGAGATAGGATCTCACTAATGTGCCCAGGCCAGCCCGAATTTGCAGTCCTCCTGCCTCAGCCAGACATTTTTAAAGCAGAATTAACCAGGGGTGCTGACTGACACCTGTAATCTCAGTTACTCAGGAGGCCGGGGTAGGGAAATCACAAGTCCAAAACAAAGATAAATTATCAAAAATAAAAAGGGAGGGGATGATAGCTCATTACTCCCTGGTTTAATCCCCAGTACTACATTAAATAAATAAGGCAGAGTCAAAGAAATATTTTTAAATCAATGTTGTTGAGGTAAATTTATATACAATAAGATGTCCAGAATATGTCCATTTTAAATATACAGTTAAATGAATTTTGATCAATATAGGTGTCTCCTCGCCCATCTCCCCACCCTTGAGATCAGGCAGCCCTCGCCTTCTTTTGGTCACTGTAGATTAAGTGTAGCTTGTTCCTACCTTTCATGTGAATGGAATCATACAGTTCATTTAGGTACCGGTAGTCAAACTCAGGACCTCACACTTGCCAGACAGGTGGATCTAAATCCCCTGCCCTTCATTTTCTTTCTTTCTTTCTTTCTTTTTTTTGTGTGTATGCCAGGAATGAACTCAGGAACTTGCACTTGCCAGGCAGGTGCTATAACCGCTGAACTAAATCCCTAGCCCCCTGTATTTTCTTTTTTAATGTTTTAATGTCAGGATTTTTTTCTCTTAGCACTAAAGTGTCTGAAAATTGTGGAGTTTTGTGCCAAGGCTTGACAGCTCTGGAAGTTCCAGGCTGGGGGGAAGGACTGTGAGAAGGTGGAGAAATAAAGATAAGAGACAGAAAGCTGAGGCCAGGCCAGGGATATAGCTCAGTGGCATAAGCACCTGCCTGGCAAGCACAAGGTCCCGAGTTCGATTCCCGGTACCAAAAAAGAAAAGAAAGCTGAGGCTAGGTGGAGCCCTCCCTCGGCTTTGGGAAGAAAGGAACTGCTCAACCACCGCAACGCGTTTATTTATACTTTTACCAGGTTGATGTCAGGTGAAACCCCTTTGCCTAACGACTGGCTCACCTCTCACCCAGTGTTCTTGGGGCTGGAGCTCCTGTTCTCCTGGGCATGCTTCATGCCCTCACTGTGGTCCTCGGTGTTCCTGCTTGGCCACCCCCAGCAGTTTTGTTTGTTTTGAGACAGTTTCCCTGTGCAGTTCAGGCTGGCCTTGAACTCACTTGTAACCCAGGCTGGCTTCAAACTGGCCGTGATCCTCCTGCCTCAGCCTCCTGAGTGCTGGGATTACAGGTGTGTGCCACTACATCTGGTGAATTGTGGAATTTTATATTTATTTATTTATTTTTGGTACCAGAAATCGAACTCAAGACCTTGTGCTTGCCAGGCAGGCGCTTGTGCCACTGA